GAACGTCACAATAAAAAGGACATAACACCTGTCACCTATCTACGAGTTTATCTGTCTGCTTAACTGTGGTCAGTTGGAGCAGTGAGGGCAGAACAATTACATTGCCATTTTGAATATTGCGTTGCCATTTTGAATATTGCATTGTCATTTTGCATATTGTATTGCCATTTTGCAAATTGCATTGCAAATTGAATTTTGCTACACATATTCCATAGTCGTGCAGTTGATTGTACAAATCGATTTAGCAAGAAACTGGAGCCGTAGTTTTACAGACAGCCGAAATCTTAAAAAGTAAGTGTTGTACTCGGTCACATATGGCCGATACCCAACCCGCTAATAGGACTGGATAGGTGCCAATATTCAGATCTATGCATCTCTACTTACAACGACCATTGTTCGACCATTGTAGCCATCAGTTAAATAACTACAGGGGATATTCCAGAAAGCGGTTTAGCAGTATTTCAGGATAAGCAAAATTTAATATTAAGAATATGGCAGCAACATAATCTATTATCAATTTATTAACTACAGGGATTGAGAACTTATTTTTAATTGTATTTTTATCAGATATTAATTGTATACAGATAAGGCTATAAATCAACCCATCTCCACCCAGATGCTGTTTTGTCGAAAATGAATCTGTATTTTCATTATGTCAGGTGTCTTTTATTTTTCGAAAGAAGGAATGGTTTGTAGAGGGGTGCATTAATCCTCAGCAGCAGCAATATGAATTATAACATTAAAACCAGTTTTTTGAAAGAAAATAGTTAATTGAAGAACATTGTTTGTATACTTCAACTTTTGGTTCTTTGCGTTTGTCTTTTTATATTGTTAACATTTAATGGTTTTTTTATTATATATTTTGGGTTTGGGTCCCAGGCAGATGATAAATCTCCCTTTTGGGTTCGCAGGTGAAAAAAATCCATGATATGCAAGGAAATTTGTTAATTTGCTGACGACAGATACTGAACTAGCAGCACAGAGGCTACAACGAGATCTTGATTTAATTAGCGACTGGGCTGATACCAGGCAGATAAAATTTAGTGTAGATAAATGTCAGGTGATCCATGCAGGGAGCAGAAATATGAAGTACTGATATTTTATGGGTTCCACTGAAATAAAGGTAGCTGATTACGATGTGTATGTACAGATCTCGATGTGTATGTTGATGCTTCCATGTCCCACTCTCGCCAGTGTGGGGAAGCAATTAAAAAGGCCAATAGGATGTTGGGTTACATCTCTAAGTGTGTAGTGTCAAGGGAGGTAATGCTACGATTACACAATTCCTTGGTAAGACCCCACCTAGAATATTGTGTGCAGTTTTGGTCACCATACCTTAAAAAGGACATTGCTGCCTTGGAAAGGGGTCAACATAGGGCTACAAGAATGATTCCTGGTCTTAGAGGAATGTCTTATGAGGAGAGGTTAGTTGAGCTAAATCTGTTTAGCCTTGAGCAAAGGGCACATGATCCAGGTCTATAAGATTCTAACAGTTCTGGATGCTGTTCAGCCAAATAGTTACTTCAATATTAGTTTAAATACTAGAACTCGTGGCAATAGGTGGAAATTAGCGGGAGAACATTTTAAAACGAATTTGAGGAAGCACTTCTTTACACAGCATGTAGTTAGAGTACGGAATAGGATTCCTGTTAGTGCAGTACAAGCTAAAACCCTGGGTTCCTTTACATCAGGGCTAGATAAGATTTTAACAACCCTGAGCTTTTAGGTGAATTATCCCCAAGTGAGCTTGATGGGCCGATTGGCCTCCTCTTGTTTGTAAACTTATTATGTTTGTTTTGTTCTCCCATTTTATTTCGATAATGCAGAGAGCTTTGGGCGGAGTGTTTGAAAGCTCTGTTTCTTTTCGTTTTATTTTAAATACAGGAACCCCTTCACATTCATGAGGGTTAACTTGTATGTTGGACTTGATGCTGTTATATTAACATTGTTTAGATGTTACACGGTCTGGCCCTGACGATGCAGACTGCAGACAGTCGGCTGAGTTTGTATTTTTATTCCCATCCTTCATACGTGTGAATCCTGACCTCTTTCATCTCGATCTTCTCTACTGCAGGATGATGTTCAGGCTTCTGCTGCTCCTCTGCCTTGGACACTGTCTCCTTGCTGTCTTTGGGGCAAACAAAGGTGAGTAAGAGCCTCACAGTGATCCTGTGTGTAATTAGTTGTGTATGTCAGTGCCTCCCTGCTTTGTAATTATACGGTAATGTGAGTGTCTGATGGGGGTGTCTGCTGTAACATTCTCCCATGTAGGGAACGGGGTGGGGGGGGTCTCTCACTGTCTGTGTCTGTTGTGCTGTAAAGACTGTAACTTAATCAGCTGCTTGTTTCCTTTACCTGCTGTATGATGATATTAAGCTGAAGTTAAGCTGTGGTATGTGATTAGTACAGAGTCATATGGCACAATTAATGGACCAATCAGTGTGGAGAGCTGGCACTGTCTATAATGTAGTTAATATAATAACCTGTTAATGACTTTATTCTGTATATTAATCAGCTATCTACGCTGATGTTGGAGGCACTGTCACGCTGCCCTGTGATGGACCAGCAGCTACAGACACCAAGAAGGTTATGTGGATGTTTGATGGCAGGCCTGTCTTTTGGTTTAAAAATGAGAGCTGGTGTGGAACTGGTCGTTATGTGAATCGAACTCGGCTTGGATCCATTGAACAGAACAACTTCTCTTTGGTCATTAATCCTATCAGAAAAGAGGATGCCGGGGTGTATACGTGTCGAATCAATGGTGAAGATATACAAATCATTCGCCTTAATTTCACAGGTCAGTGACCCTTCTGCAGGTTCCCCTTCCCCCTTTAACCCCCCGAGACCCGTCTCTGTGGGTCAGAGCCTCCTACAGCTCAGTCTGCCCCCCGACCCGCATGAACAGAACCGTGACCCAGAAGCTGAGAGCAGTAGGGACTCTCCGCAGGCCGTCTCTATCCCCCAGCCCCCAGCTCTCTGCTGCTACCCTGCATCTCACACTCACTGCTGCAGCTCTGAGTTACAGGCTCATGCTGACTCTGCTGCTTCTGTCCCTCTCTGTCGGCAGGAGGCCGGAATCAAACAGCTGCAGTCACCACCATTGTTTGCACAAATTTATTTAATGTAAATGAGGCTGTTAGCGCCTCGGACCCCTGGCCTCCAACCCACCCAGTCTGGGTTTTAGTGATGCCCATGGTGATGCGTTCAGTGTCACTGTGGTGTGTTGATGCTAAAAGCATGTGTGTGTTTTAATAAGTGGTATGAATATGATGGGATGTTACAGGCTCCCTAACGTACGTATGTGAGCAGCATGCAAACGCATGGCTAGTGGTCAGAGATAATGGCTGTATGACAGGGTTTGGCACAAACAGGAATAAACAGGCACCAGAATTCACACAGGATCTGCTGATTAGTTTCTCTTTTCCCTCCCGGATCAGATACTGTTTACAGGCCATACAGAGAGAGAGAAGATCCTCCAGGTGAGTTTATATCCTGTGTGATAAACATACTTCTGCCCCAGTGTATAAGCTGCTATCTGTATCCAATTTATCTGCTTCCTGTCTCTGTATGAATAGTTATTGACTGAACGTAGTTCTTGCCATGAGACAGACACTAACATGACATTAAACATACACACCTACCTACAGTACCCACCTACCTCTAATAGTGGATTCTTAATATATTTATTTACATGCTTTTGCTTAGTAATGATAATTATTTATATCCAATTATTATATTATTAATAAGTAATCAAAATTACCTGAGTTGATCGTCTTTGCCAGGATTAAATTGTCCCATCAGTCAAACCAGTGACAATGTTGACAGTGTTGGCAAAGTTACCCACAGAAGTAACCCATTACAGATAGAGGTGTAAAGTTCAAGTTCAGAAAGTACAAATCCAGATCAAGGTTTTGTTTCAACCAACCACACGGAAAAATGTTTCTTTGAATGAACTCAATTAAATCATGTACAGTGGTTCCACACAACTAGAATGAGTATTTTGAAAATGAAACATTCTCATTAAATTTTCTCATGTCTAATTAAACCAACTGAATTGGTTGCTAGACTGCATAACATTATTTATCAGGGCTGAGTGAAGGTGACAGATCCCCTAGTGGCTATAGGAGTACATTTTCCCTGGAGCAGACATAATGGGTAGAGGCCTCATTGCTTTTAGACTGCGACTTGGGATAGGAGAACAAATTAAACCATTTTGCTCATTTAATATTCAGGTTTTTACTAGGCTTAATTTTTAGAAGCCAGTTGTTCTTGAGAATGGTGTGTCACAGATATTAGTCTCACATTTTATAATTAGTCTTCAGGGTCCTTTTGGGTTGCTGGAGTTAGCTGCTGTATGCCAATTGACCCCTTGCCTTTAGTTCTGTGGGGTACTTGGTGTGTGACTCTAAAGGAATCCTGAAAGGTTTTATTCTATTTGTCTGCTTTGGAGGCTTATAGCTGGGAGGAGATAGCACGTTACTTGAAGAATGACCAGTCCTGCTTCTCTTAGCAGTTGGTCAGCCAAAAACCTCCCCCCAGGAATCTCCCAGAGACCGCATACAGAGTACCCCCAAGGAGGCCATTGCCTCCCCCCAGCCACTGACCAGCACACAAGACCCCACCAAGATCCATTTCTTTTCCAACTGTATTTATTAGAATTTTAACCAATAACACTAAATGATACAAAAGATACAAATGATGGTCTTGACCTTAATACCCCCCCACACCTCCCTCCCTGTCGTACAAAATAAAATTGAAATAAATGATTTATATCAACAATACAGGTTAATCAGAATAATTGAAAAATAATTATAACAAAAAGAAATTATGTATATTTACATATACTTATCCATACACACACACACACACACACACACACACACATATATATTCATACAGATACACACCCCTGTACATATAAATGGTGTATATATATATATATATATATATAATAATACTACTAATAATAATTACCTAACATAAGAAAAAATAATTCTAGTGGTCTCTCTAAATTACTAACATTTATAAGTAGTGGGCCTACAGATCTAAATGTGTTGTTGTAGGAAGCAGTACCAAGGGTCAATGGACAGTCTCAGGTTGTATTCAATTTCTTATATTGTTCATCAAGTTGTTAGCTAGTCAGAGGGAAGAGTTTTCATTTTTTCAAAAAGGGTGGATCACGGGCCCCCAGTTATCAGTAAAAATTTTACTTGAGCTTCCAATGCAATACTTTATTTTTTCCAGTTTTAAAAAGGATATTAGATCCCAAAGCCACATTGATGCACGTGGTGGCTGTATGGACTTCCATTCCAACACGATCCTTCTTCGTGCCAGAAGAGAGGCAAAAGACAAAGTATTTTGAGCCGTAGTCATCAATACTGTTCCATCTCCTGGTTTTCCAAACAAGGCTATTTTGGCAGTAGGTTTTATATCCAGCTCAAATGCCTCATTTAGAAATTTAAAAACAAATCCCCAAAAGCCTCTCAGTTTAAAACATGACCAAAACATGTGAACAAAGTCAGCCTTAGTTAAGTGACATCTGTCGCAAGTTTCTTCTAAGTTGGGATAAATTCTAGAAAGTCTGGCCTTAGTATAGTAGACCTGGTGGGTAATTTTAAATTGAATTAAGCCCAACCGGGCACTTGATCTACTTCGGTTTGCCATTCTAAGTGCTTTCTCCCACGTTTCATCAGACAATACAATCCCCAATTCTTTATCCCATTCTAATTTAATTTTGCCCGTTGGTGTGTTATTTATGGACATAATTACGTTATATATATTTTAGAGATTTGACCTCTAGGATGGAGGGGAATTTGCAAAATGTGTTCTAATGCAGAAGGAGCCGGCAGAGACGGAAAGCTTGGACTTTGAGACTGAATAAAATGTCTGATCTGGAAATACCGAAACAAGTGAGATTGTGGCAATTTTAATTTTTCAGAGGGAACTAAAGCTAGCAAAAGTGTTGTCAATATAGAGATCAGTACATTTACCAAGACCTAACTTTTGCCATATCACAAACGTATGGTATAGTTGGGCTGCATTGAAACTATCATTACATATAGGGCTTAACATAGAAAAATTTTAATTTATATTTTTGACGAAATTGGGACCATATTTTAAGTGTAGAGGCCACAATGGGACATGACATATAATGCGAAGGAGAAAAGGGTGGTTTTGCTGTTATTAGAGACAAGAGTGATGAAGATTTGCAGGCATATACCTCCATCTTACACCATTCTGTCTCTGGGGACTGAAACCAACAAATGATTTTTTGTATGTTTGCTGCCCAGTAATAGCCCCTAAGATTGGGCAGAGCTAGCCCTCCCTCCGCTCTCGGTCTTTCAAAGAGTTCTTTACATACTCTAGGATTTTTACCTCCCCATAAAAAAGAGGTAATCATAGTATCAACCGACTGGAAAAAAGATTTTGGAAGGAAAGTTGGGAGGCACTGAAATAAATATAAAAACCTTGGTAAGATATTCATTTTGACACAGTTAATTCTGCCAGTAAGAGATAGGTATAGTGTATTCCATCTATCAAAGTCCAGTTTCATTTTATTGAGCAGAGGAGTAAAGATCTCTTTATGCAAGTCTGTGAAGGTTGGTATGATATTGATACCTAACTACCTAAAGCCAGATTTAGACACTGAAAAAGGTACTGTAAGATGTTTTCTGGTATCTGTAGGGCTAAACTATTAATAGGAAAACATTCAGTCTTCAAAAATTTTTATTTACTGCCAAATTCCCTTAATATTTGTATTACTTCAGTTACATTGTTCCCCAGATCTGAAATATACAACAGATCATCAGCATAAAGTGAGACTCGATGTTCTATACCCATCCTTTTAATTCCTTTTAAGGACTATGACGTTCTTAACTTGATGGCTAGGGGCTCTATAGCTAAAACAAAAAGGAGAGGGCTTAATGGGCATCCCTGTCTGGTGCCCCTATGCAGCTGAAAAAATTGTGAAGGCAATGTATTAGTGACAACTGATGCCTTAGGGGAAGAAAACAACAACTTCACATAGGAAGAACATTTTGGGCCAAAATTAAACTTTTCGAGTACTGCAAATAAGTAGTCCCACTCAACTCTATCAAATGCTTTCTCAGCATCTAAAGAGACAACTACTTCCGGGCTATCTCCCAATGTAATGGAGTGTATGACACTTAGAAATCTGCGAACATTTGGTAAAGGAATGTCTTCCTTTAATAAAACCTGTCTGGTCAGGAGAGATAACACTTGGCATGATGGGTTCTATTGTAGAAGCTAGAAGTTTTGCCAAGATTTTGACATCAACGTTCAGTAATGAAATTGGTCTATAAGATCCACAGTGAAGTGGATCTTTACCTGGTTTCAGGAGGAGTGTAATGGATGCTTCTGTTAGTGTCTGTGGAAGTTCTCCCCGCGCCAATGAATATTCAAACATTTTCAGAAGCAAGGGGGCGAGTCTATCTGAAAAAACCTTGTAAAACTCAGCTGGATAGCCGTCTGGACCTGGTGTTTTATTACTTTGCATTGCTCTAATGGAATCTTGTATTTCCTTTATTTGAAGTGGCTGTTCCAGTTCTTCTTTCTTAATAGAATCAATTACCGGGATATTCAAATTTTCCAAAAAAGTAAACATTTTTGAATTGTCATTTTGAAATTCAGATGTATATAGGTCCGAATAGTACTTCTTGAATGTATCATTAATTTCTCGGGGGTCAACCGTCAACTGTAAAGACGTGTTGTGAATTTGAGGGATTAAACGAGATGCGGATTTACATTTCAACTGATTAGCTAAAATACGGCCTACTTTTTCACCAATGTTTAGTTTTATTGTATTATTAAACGATCGTATTGAGCCTGAAGTTCCAGCCTCTTAATCCTCAATTCTTGTGTGGGGTTTACTGATAGTTGTTGATCTAGAATAGTTATTGCATCTATTAACTGCTGTTGTTCATGTTCCTTTGATTTTTTATATGCAACAGTATACGAGATAACTTCTCCCCTGATTACGATTTTCAGTGTTTCCCATATAATGGAGAGGGAAACAAAATCAGAAGCATTAGTTAATAAAAAAATATCTATAACTTCTGATATAAATGCATGAAAATGATCATCTGCAAGCAGAGAGGTGCTTAATCTCCAGAAGGGACGATCTCTCTGATTCAGTGCGAAATGCAGGTCTAAAAGAACATGTGAATGATCTGATTCAACTATTGTTGAATATTCTATATTTGCAACAGATGGTAAAAGCTGGTTATCTATGAAAAAGTAATCTATCCTTGAATAAGAAAGACGTACATGAGAAAAATAAGAAAACACGTTAGTTTGCGGAAAGAAAAATCTCCAGGGGTCTTGACATCCCATTTGTGTCATAGTGGTAGATAGGGCTTGGGCCATTTTACTGGGACGTAGACTTTTAGGGTTTGAACTATCTAAAGCTGGGTCTATAGCACAATTCATATCACCACCGAGAATAATCTGATATCTATTCACGTCTGGTAACTTGGAAATAAGCTTATGAACAAAGGATGCATCATCCCAGTTAGGTGCGTACACACATGCTACTACAACAGGGGTATAAAAGAGGTAACCTGAAATTATAATGTATCTTCCTTGCATATCTGGGATAATGAATTGCACTTTTTTATTAATTAAAATTGCTGCTCCTCTCGCCTTAGTGTTAAATTGAGAGTGGTAAACTTGCCCTACCCATGGTCTCCTGAGCCTCATATGATCTGCCACTTGTAAATGTGTTTCCTGTAGGAATGCTATATCTGTGTTCAGTTTTTTTAGGTGGGTGAAAATACGAGATATTTTAACTGGCCCATTCATACCCTTAACATTCCAGCTGACGAACCGCACAGGTGTACCCACACCCTGTGCCCTGCTAAACTGCGCTATCATTTAGTACCACCACCATTGAGTTCTAAACCAGTACTGACCATCCACATGCATATCCAAAGCCCAATACATCAAATATTCGACCACATGTCCAAAAAATATAATACAAAGAAACATAATAGCAAATAAAACAAAAAAAATTTAATCCTAAACCAAACAATAAACCAAACATATCCTATGCTTCTTCCTCACATCGGGTCAAGCTGCTGGCCCCCTTGTACTTGAGACCCCTGAAAGTCCATTAACTATACAGCGCATAGAGGGGTTACCAACTACAGAAACAAACTCTTAAACTACTGAAATCTTGTACAATATCAAAGCATTTGTAATGTAAGCAACAAAACAAATGTTTACCACGAGTCATAGCAAAAAGAAGACTTGCGCATAACGTAAGATTAAAGCACACCATACAATTTTGAACAATCAATCAGGAGGTTAAATTGTTTTAAACCACCCGCATAGATATTGGGACAGCTTTCGCTAATAAATACCACATAATTCTGTCTAGTCTGTTCAACGGGTATATATACAGGTTTATCATAAAAGCTGAAATCACCAGTACTAGCTTGTTCAGTCGGGCACTCGCTGGTCGTAAAACAGCTTTGCCTCCTCTGGCGTGGTAAAGGTGAAAGTCTCTCCCTCATAAGTAACCCTAAGACGGGCTGGATAGAGCACTTGGAACTGGATGTTTCTGGGTGAGGGTAAAATGCGGACTGTTTACAAACAATGGATTTTATGTTTATAAACAGACGTGTCGCAAATGACGCATGCCGCGTAGACAGATCACGTGGCATAGAAAGAAACCCATACGACGTTACCTAATCACGGGGTGCGTTCGAGGTATGTCTGCAGCTGACGTGACGTGGGCCACATTGCTGAGCTCCTCGAAGGCTCTTTTGTTTCCGTCCGGCGGAATCCGCATTTTACCCTGTTTCTCTGGGACAGCACGTGTTTAATGGGGTTAAATGCCACGCGCTTCTTTGCCAGGGCGGTGCTGAGGTCCGGGTAGATCCTAACCGTCTTCCCTTTATACTTCAGCTCATGTCCTTTAGCCCACCTCAGCACACGCTCCTTCTCCTGAAATCTATGGAAGCACACCACGAAAGGTCTGGGGGGCTGGTGCGAAGCTGGTTTCGGGCGAGGCACGCGGTGTGCTCTCTCAAGTTCTGGTGGGTTATCGAACAGTTTAGTGTCCGTTAATTCCTGTAGCAAAGTTCATACGAAAGCAAGAGGGTCCTGGCTGGCTTCACTGTCCTCAGGGATATTGACAATTCTCAGGTTGGTTCGGCGCGATCAATTTTCCAAGTCTTTAATACGGTCCAGTACAGCCGTATTCTGGGTTTGCAGACTCTTAATAGATTTCTCAACCGCAAACAACAAGTTAAAGTTTTCGCGAACGCGGAATTCCGCTGTAACCAAGCGGCTCTGGAAACTGTCCACTGTCTCACGTAGGGCATTCACAGAGGTCTGAAGCGGGCCAATAGATTCCTGAATGAGCGCGGAAATATCTTCTTTAATACTAATGCGTTGTTTAGTTAATTCGAACACAAGCTGATTCATAGAAATGTTTTCGCTTTCGCCAGTTGAATCATGCTGTTTCTCTGCGCTAGTGCACTCGGCCATGGTAGCTAACTTGCTAGCGATGCTGGTCGCAGACCTCGTAGTCGGTGCTGAGTGGACTGGTTTTTGCTTCGAACCGCTCATGTTACGTCCAAAAGCCTTTTAATCAAGATCACAACTACCATGAACAATTTGCGTTGTTGTTCGTTCAAATAAGTGTATCAAGTGCAAAATTTGAAAAGTTGGTCGGGAGCTCCTCTCACACACACCTTACTGCTCCATGGTCAAACCGGAAGTCACCAAGATCCAGTTGGCTGCAGTCAACATCACACTTTTCTATATCGGGGTTTTTTATACTCTTCCCCTGTTCAACATCATCACGATGGATTAAAAAAAAAAAAAAAAGTATTACATCAAAGGCAGTACCATAATATACTATGCAAATGTACATCCAGCACCTTTGGTCTACAGGAGAGTGGGCGGTACCAGGAGCTACACAACAAAGGGCGTCACAGCTCTCCTAACACCTTTCTGTGTATATTACCCATCATCCAAGGCCACGAGGCCAGGACTGGGAATCGAAATGGTCTTAATCAACAAATATGCAACCCCAGGGTGGCATTTCATGAACAACCGCAACTGTTCAATTTTTATTATAGAGAGAGAACATCCTGTAAGGTCAGTATTTGGTATAGGTCGTCTTCATGACGGTGGGTGAAATAAATCACGGCTGCTGTTAGATTATATATGTAATTTAAATTGAATGAAAGCAATTCAGCTGGTTTACTTGACATGAAAAAAATTAACTCAACTATATTCTATTCTCAGAACATAAAGTGAATGCATCAACTTAAAGAATGTTTCATTTTCAGAATACTCATTCTAGTTGTGTAGAACCACTGTTCATGATTGAATTGAGGGGGGTCCATAACAGCTGCAGAAAGGGGTCAGACGGGAAGCTGCTCTGGGTCGGGCTGTCGGCTCGGTGATGAGGCTCTACTGGCTGCTTCAGTGAGATTTTACACTGACTGAGGATCGAGTGTCTGTGTGAAAATGTGTCTGGACACTTACTGATCTCTCTGCTTTCCACAGGGGCGTCTTCAGGAGGAAACTCAGTGGGGATTGGGGTGACTGTGGTGATTGTGGTGGTTGTGGGGATTGGGGGGATTGTGGTGGTTGCATTGTTATTCAGAAGAAGGAAGAACCAGCTAAGGACTAGAAGGCCAGCTGATCTGGTACGGTCTACTGAATATTCCCTGATTGACATGAATAAAGATGACAGTGTAAATCAGAGTACAGAGGAACCAGCCAATGAAGGTCTGGCTCATCCTACACAGTCTTCTGCAAATGGTCTGCTTAATGGGGTTAGTGACCATTTTGGAGGCTGCAGTGTTAATCAGAGGACCGCTGACTGCTTGGACTCGCCTACTTGGACTCAAGTGCAAGGCTCTACGCAGGATGGTGTGGACGGCGTCACTGTCACCGCTACCCCCTGTCCGGGAGAATCCGCACACACACTGTGTCCGGATAGCCTCCAGCAGCAGCAGGGTTCTGCAGATCTTATATGAATTTATATCAAAGTATATTTCTATAATAAATTGTAATATTTTATAATAGTTTTTTCCATGTGTAACGGGTGGTCCAGGTAAGAGACATGGATCCAGTAATGCGGGGTGATATGTCCTTTATTCGGGACAGAACAGACACAGAGGACAGGTACAGGAACAGAGTCTCCGTGAGGACTGGTCCGGAGTAGGGTATACTCCCGGGGAGGGGAGATCGGTGACCAGAACTGGAGTCGGCGAGCAGAGGACGAAGTCGGGAGCCGTTGCGGTAGGTCATAGCCGGGAAAGTCAATCCGAGGGGTGACACGGGGACAGGAGACGGAAGGTTCGGAGAAGGGGGGCGCAGGGAAGGCTTCGGGTCGGGGACTCAAGGAGAGGAGCTAGACTGAGGAGAGAACAGGAACGAGCAGGGTAAGTACAAGCAGGGCGATGACAGGCAGGAAGACAACGGAGACAGGGAGAAGGGTTAAACGCTCGGTATGTCTCATTCGAACAATGGTAACAATACTTCGCGTCATTCGGTTGTTGTCGATCCGGTTTTCTTACGGTCTTGATTGCCGTCTTAGTGATCGCAGCTGGAGGGATCCGCCCTAGTGGGCGTGACACCATGTCCACGAATCAAGCCTGTAGAACCATCAGATGGGTCCCATCAAATCCTGCTTTATTGACGAATACATATTCATGCTGGGTATCACTGGAATCCGACTGGAAGCAGAACTGTGTCTCATGGTGTATTCACACTTGGCATGTTTGTCTCGTACTGGGCCCGAACACAACTGCTCCCCTTATGGCGTTAAATTAGTGCCAAAACTCGCGCGCATAAAAACCATGCGCGCGTATGCGCTCGCGAGCAGAAAACCCATCCTCTCTATGCGCTCGCGTTTGCGCAGCACTCGCTCGCTCGGCGTTACATTACTGCCAAAAATCAAACCACACGTGCGCTTGCGAGCTGAAAACCCATCCTCTCTACGCGCTCACGTTCGCTGGACCCTATCTACGCGCTCGCGTCTGCACAGCACTCGCTCGCTCAAAACACACAATACATTTAAGCAAACTAACATAATATGGTTATCATGTACCATAATATTTAAGAAGATGGGGCTAATGTTCATTTTAGAGGCGATTATTTTCACACAGTCTAGGCCTACAGTAATCGTAGAAAGAAAATTAAGCAAAACTTTTTAAATCAAAGTGATGACATTGCATCATTGGGTGAGTTTTAAGATGTATTTGCGTTGCCATCATGCTGTGGTAATACTTATGTTCTGCTTTGCAATACTGACAGACGACTGCATACGGTATGTATGCAAATTACATAATGAAGCAGACAATGCAGCACAGGGAACAGACACTATTTCATACAATGCTATTGGCAACTTCAGTAAATTAGTGATACACTCTAAAAAAGAATGTATTGGGCTTACAATCTAGGAAGAGGTGGCGACTCATTGACTTAACAGTCGAGGTTGTCAATTGAACACTATACGAGTTAATAAATATTAACACTGTAAAAACAACACTCACTGCACACTGTAAAGTGTCAAAGGTAACACTGAATGGTGTGGACCCATATAAACACCATGCAGTGTTAATTTAACACTGGCACAATTGCTGTGTAACATGTTTTAGAACAATTTTACCCAGAACAGCTATGGTCTGCTAGCGTGGTGCTATGCTAACTGATGTGAATTGTGGTCCCGCCATTTTTCAATAAGCTCTACAGCTAAATTACTTAAACAGAAGACACACGTTCCAATTTTACAAGTATTATCTTCGGGGAAGCATGGCAAGACAGCATGAGACAAGGGGTTTTCTAGTTGCATTTTACAAATGCAATACTACTTAGATACTATATAGATATTGTATATAGTGTATAGTACTGTATATAGTATTCTGCAGTACAATATAGATGTATTGAAATAGATTGTACTCATTTAAACCCTACTGATCATGCACACATATAATGCACACAGTTACATTCCGCTATTCAAATTGTTTTATACTTGACTGCTTTTGCAACATCTGCACAATTTCTGGATGTCTAAAATACCTATTTTATGCTTTTTGTGTTTAGAGTTGATATTTGTAATTTATTTATAAAAATTCTTGTACTCTAACAACTGAAACCATGTGTTCTGTGTGGCTCAGTGGGCTAAGCCTGTGTGCCTGTAATCACAAGGTCACCAGTTCAAACCCAACCTCAGCACGTCTGTGGGTCCTTGAGCAAGGCCCTTAACCCCCAGCTCCCGGGGCACAGCCATGAATAGCTGCCCTTCACAGACAACTTATTTACAAAGACCAAGTTGAGGGAGATGTAAAAGACAATTTCCCCATGGGGATTAATGAAGTGATGATGATTATTATTATTTAACATTTATTAAAATGTTGAATTGTGAAATGCGGTTCTTGTTTTTTATTTCCCCTGTATTAAGTAAAACAAGGTACTAATACTAAAGAAAGTGTGTTAACTATATTCATGGACATTTCTGAGTAGAAAACAACAAAAAAATTAAGGTAGAGCAACTTTATTTGAATGATGAGGTAACTTAATATTTCAATGAATATTGAATTAATATTAAGTAGGTATTTCTTAATTTAGCTTTTGGATATAGAAGGAAAAACATGTTTATTGTACTTGATTTAATGGTGTAACTAACACATGCATGAAGTACAACCAATATGAAAAGTCAAATAGTGCCCACTGAATATCGAGTAGATGCAACTGAATATAGCTTTTAGTTTATTTAATGATTTCTGTTGGTGTAATAATGATAGTTTAGTAACAATTACTTAATAATACTGAACTTGGGACAACTTAAAAAGATCCATGCAAATAGTTAATACACCTTTTTGAGTAGACCCAATACATTCTTCAAATCAAATCTTGCTTTGTTATTCATTTCTGTGCATCGGTCCCCCCCTCCCCCAAAGTCCAAAAAAGACATGCTGAGGTTATCATGTACCATAATATTGGATTATCCTGTACTAATTCCACCATCTCAAGTTCATCTACAGAAGAGCTAGAGACTATATCCCACTGTATCCCAGGTAAATTAAAATCACCCATAACCACCACATCATTTTTATTACTCATAATCCTGATATCGTCATATAACATTCTGCTTTCCCCTGCAGCTACATTAGGTGCTCTATAACAAACACCGACAGTTAATGTTACGTCCGCTGCACGAGCGGGGAGCGGGAAAGCAGATTCCGGAGACGAAGTTTACAAAACGGGGTTTATTTGCAGAGCAGGGAGCAGTACTGGACAAACGTTAATGACAAACCTGGGGAAACAGACGCGGACTAAATACAGGACATGACCTCAGAATAAATACGGGACAACTGATACGATGGCAATTGACACGGGGTTAACGAGGTGGGCGTGGTCCACGAGAGAGCTGGACGGAGGGACGTGACAGTTAGGCCATTTGAGTTTTTAGCATCTAATTTTATCCATACAGCTTCTGTACTTCTTATCAGTGAGCTCCCTTGCCTGCAAGTTTTCTTTTACATATACTGCAACACCACCTCACTTCTTGCCTCTCAGGTCTCTACGGAACAACGTGTAGCCATCCATATTATATTCTTCTCCATCATTGTCACTCATCCATGTTTCTGTTATTCCTATAATGTCGTAAGTTTATGATGAAATTAAAGCCTCTAAATCATTAATTTTGTTTCTAATATTCCTATCATTTAAATACAGACCACAGGGGGTAGGCCTTTTGCAGTGACCACTTTTAATATTCATTGGGGCTTTCCGTCTCTCCCCATCTAAATTCTTAACTACCCTCCCTGTCCCCCCCAATCCCTAGTTTAAACATTCCTCAACTACTCTACACATATGCCTCCCCTGGTTCCCCTCTGGTTCAGATGCAACCCATCCGGCTTGAACAGGTCCCACCTGTTCCAGAAGGTATTCCAGTGCCCCCTAAACCTAAACCCCTCTTTCCTACACCACCCTTTTAGCCACGCAT